CTATGATACTATTTATAATTTAATGGAATATTTAAAGCAAAAAAGAGACCAAAATACTACTTTAACTTTCATACAGTATTTTAAACACAATTGCTAGTTCAGTAAAATAATTAATACAATATTTAATTCAGTACGTATCTCAGGGTATAAAAAGAAGTGCAATATATATATTCTTAATAGTATGATGCCTATAAGGCAATGTTCTTAATAACTAAAGCGAATTAAATGCAATACTTTGTATACAATACACAAGAGCAACACTTCAGTACAATACTGAGGATAAAAAGACATATTTTGCAGACATATTTTGCAACAGTATAAATATACAAATGTAATGTATAAAAATACCTATGATCAATTCAATATTATTAATTCTGTGCAATATGCGATACAATGCAACAATATAGTTATACCAATATAATGTATAAAAAATACTTATGATCAATTCAATATTAATAATTCTGTGCAATATGCAAAACACGACATATAATTCAATATAATCAATAAACTAAATCTAAAATCTAAAGTCTAAAATTCTGCATGTAATTCAATAAAATAGTTAATGCCAAGTTGAATCAAGACTACTTATAACGTTATGCTAATAATCCAGCTAATAATCCAGTTTCTGTATTGCAAAGAATTTAATTTACAGTTCCATACTAAAGCATACATAGCGATACGATGTTCATAATTTCAATATGTTGCATCACATATTCTTAGGGTAGAGCTTATAACTCAACATAATATTACATAACTACCAACTTAATACAATAATTAATGCAAGAATTAAAATAATAAGTAAATTAAGTTAATAGACTAGTTAGAATATAATGCAGTACTTAGAGTGCAAATATTGTATATTGTAATTATAATGAAATATGATACAATGCTAATAGTTTGATACAATAGTTATTACAATGCTCGATACAATATTTTTGATATATAACCAGATTAGAATACTTAATATGTAGCTTGTAATTCAGTAAGATAGTAATACCATATCTATAGTTTGAGGTTGCGAGTATAATACTTATTGTGCAATATCTTATAGTGCATTTAAAATACAATACAATTTTTAATAATATTTGTAACAATACTGGGACTATTAAAAAGAAAGATATAGTTATAATATGTAAATAGACAAGAATGGAACTGGACTGGAGTGTACAAAAATACAATTGTATTATGAAAACACTATGTAAACAGACAAGAATGCAACTGGAGTGTACAAGAATACAGTTGTATTATGAAAACAGGACAAAACCATTAACATTAGACAACCTGACATAGATCAGATCCATAACTGTGGAGTGGAGAATGTCCATAATTTTTGAGAGTTTTCTGATAAGGTACTTCTGCTTAATTAAAAATTTACTAAATGCTAGTTGATTATCCACAGGGAAAGGAATGTGAAATTCCTCCGTTAACGGGCATGTAGTAATATAATGTTCAGGTATGCCTAGAGTTCCGCAGACACAATATTCACTATTTGCAATTCCATGCTTGTAAAAGTAGCTTGGAAATGGACCATGCCCCGAGATATATATCTTACTAGTTGATGATTTGTTATCTGACGACATTGATCCACATACGTAATATGATTGTACGTTCGTCGACCGGTTTCATCAGTATCCCATTCTAGTTGCCATTGGGATATAACTTTTAAAAGAAGAGCTCGTTTTAAGTGAGATGTTGGCCACTTAAGAATCACTTCTTCAGCCTCGGCATCGGTATTTTCGGCAGCTGATTTGGCTAACTTATCTGCCAAAGTATTACCGTGATCCCCAGCATGGCCCTTAGTCCAAGCTAGCGTGATGTTATTTCCCACTTGATTACGAAGTTCACATTGGATGTCCGAGATAAGCGAAGAAGAATGTCTGGGGTTTTGAATCGCTTGAAGCGACGAAAGACTATCAGTGATAATTATTGCCTCCATAGCACCACTTGTTTTACAGTGTTGAACTGCTTTGAGGATGGCTAGGGCCTCCGCTTGAAATACACTATTATTTCCATGGAGATGACCCAGCCACTGATAAATTGACTGACCATTATGAAAGGCTACAAGGGCACAGCCTGTCTGTTGATCTATTTTAGATCCATCAGTGTAATATTGAATGCTTGGGATAGGTGGCAGTGTTACGTCCTTAAGGAAAATCCGAAGTCCTGTTCCTTGAAGGACTGGATGCACATCCAAATGTTGTGAGGGTTGTTCATAGTGCAATGGTGTGAAAAGTTCATCAAATAGGATGAAAGGTTTTTTCAAAACCTTGACGGATTGTATTGCTGCTTCCTGCAGAATACGTAGATGAAGAGGGATCAGTCCCGCCATGACATTTAATGCACTGGATGAGGTAGTACGAAACGCCCGCCCTAGTTATCTGTAAGGGCAAATTGACGCTGGAGACTTTGCAAGTGGCGCACTTTGCGACCCTGCATGGGTTCAGCCCATATAGCAGCCGCATAGGTGACCATTCTCTCGATAACGGTGAGAGATAAAGAACCTTTTGTATATAGGGACTAATTCCCCATCCACGACCCTGCATTTGACGCAATTTACATGCAATTATAACAGTTCGTCTCTTTAGTTCCAAACATGCGGCATCCAGTTCAGTTTCTCGTCAAAGATAACGCCGAGAAATTTGAGCTGCGGTTTGATAGGTATACGTGTACCATGAATGGTGATTCGAGGCCGTCGAACCAAAGATCCTCCTTTTTTAGGGATTAATAAAATTTGCGATTTTGGTTCGAAAATTGTTAATTTAATTCTAGAACATAAGTTATAAAAGAGATCACAGGTTTCAATAGCATTTCTTTGCAACTCTTCTCGAGTTCGTCCTTGAATGATAAAAACTGTATCATCTGCATACGCATATGCCCGGGTATGTGCTGGCCAGTTTGCGGCAATAACAGAATTAAATGTTATATTCCATAAATCAGGGCCAGCACAAAAACCCTGCGGACAGCCTCTGTTTTGTTGTCTTGTAATAATGCCATGATTAGTGGAGTAGATAATTTTTCTTTCCGACAAGTAACTTTGAAATGCAAGAAATAAATTCTGAGGGCAATCAGCTTGTCGAAGTGCCTCCAGTATTGCAGGCCACCACAGTGAGTCAAAAGCATTCTTAAGATCTATACTGATGAAAGCACTGTGGTGACCATTGTTGCGATTACGATGTATATCTTCTGTAATTTTTGATAATACTTGTAGGGTAGACCTACCTGGTCTAAAGCCATATTGGTGATCACTTAAAAAGTGAATTTTGTGAAGATAATGTTTTAAACGGTAGACAATAATTCTTTCATAAACTTTCCTCCAGAGCAGATAATAGACATATAGGTCGATAAGATGTGGATAATTGCGGATCTTTGCCTTTTTTGAGAAAAAAAGAACCACTCTTCCAGCTTTGAAGATACGAGGAAATACACCATTAAGAAATAACTTATTAAAATAATCACAGAAGAAAAAAGATGTGGGAATTAATGATTACACGAATTATAGAATAGTCAATCCCGTCGGGGCCTGGGGCCCGTTTTTTTTTTGGAATACTTCGAAGAGTGGTTTTAATTTCTGTAATTGTAATCTGTGGATCATCCTCTGTGTTAGGAATAGAAGTTTGCTGCCTAATTGACAAGTGCTCTGGGGAGTCATCTGTAATATCATCCTGAGGAAGAACTGATGCTAGAATATCATTAATAGTATTTTCTATTGGGCTAGACCCAGCAAGTGATGATTCTGAAAGATACGTTGATGCAGGCTGGAAAAGCTTATCTCGAGCGATCTTATAGGGTAAGCCAAATATTTCTCTATTTGATGTGCAGTATTTTCTCCAAGCTTCTATTTTGCTCTGCATAATCATCCGTTTATACAGAGCACGCTCTCTTTGAAAAACTTGAAGAGTATTAGATGTTATTCCATTGCGTCGTTCAGATTTTAATCGTCGCCTAAGCGCACGACACTTCCGCTGCTGTATGCGAAGATCAGAGTTCCACCAATGTAAAGTATGGAGCTGCTTGGTAGTTCGCTTTGGAAAGTATTTCGTGACAAATATCTTGAAGATTTTGCATTAAGGACTCTGAAAAACGTTCAATATCTTCAGATATGGTTAAAGAGTTGATTTGGTGACGAAGACGATTAAGAGTTCCACGAACTTTTCGACTAAACTGATTAAATTTTCCTGCCAGGAAGATTATAACGAGGTAAGATAGGTAAAGAACTATGTTGTGTTACTTCAAAAGTGATATATTTATGGTCAGATAATGAAATCTCATCTCTGACCGTCCAATTACTTGTTAAGTGAGAGGTATTGGCGGATGTAAAGGTCAGGTCCGGCCAACCCACAGCATATAGTCTGTCGAAAGTAGGAATTGTATTCGTGGCATTGAGTAATACATAATTTTTAGAAGATAAGAAGTCTTCTAACAGACGGCCTTTGGGGTCTGTTGTTCGATATCCCCAAGCAACAGAGTGAGCGTTAAAATCGCCGCTGATAATCTGATGTTTATTACCAAGAACTCTTGTATAGTGTTCCAGGAAAGAGATTGTAGTGCTGATATCATCTGAGGGACTGGAGTAGATCGAAAATAATGCTATAGTAAAATTTTCTAATTCTAATAAAAGTGCTACTTGATCTTTAGTAATAGTAATAATTGATGGAGAGAATTGAGGGTTACAATTAATTATTGCTGAGCGTGGAGGATCTTCTGAATTTTCTTGATGATATACAGTCCATAATAAAGGAAAACCAACCACTTTGCCATGTCTAGTATATGGCTTCTTGAACGAGAAGAAAATCAATTTTGTTTGCTTAACGCAAACTCTATTGCCTGGGCAGTTGCAACTTGAGCTTTCTGAAGATTAATTTGCAAGAATTTGATGTTAGGAACAGAATTACATGAAACATTATACTGGGCATCTCTACTCATAGGTGGTGATGCTTCGGATTCTGTCAATATTACTTTGGTAGCAGTAACAGTAACAGGTGTTGGAGTTTGCTGCGTGGTCAATCGGGACTTGACTTGATATCTGCTGCCGTTGTTATAATCGATGCAATTGATGCATGCTGCTGTGCTGTATCGGCATCGGCCGAACAGTCCTTGGTATCGTGTTGTCCAGCACACAATGCGCAATAGTGGACGCTGCGGCAGTCTTTTTGCAGGTGCCCAAAACGTTGGCACTTGAAACATCTTTTGACATTAAAGTGCTCAGTGATAAGGTGGCCTTGCCAGCCGATGTAGATGCGAGGGTTGCACATGAAGGTTTGATATGCCCTTGGGCTGCACTCGGCAACCCACTTGACATTGCGTCGCTGCTTTAGACGAAATATAAGTTTAACTTCGTCACTAGTGAGGCCAAAGTCTTCTTGTATGGTAAGCTGTAAATCCTCCTGTGTCAGATCTGGGGATAAATTATGAATTGCAATAAGGGGTTTTTTTGTTGTGGGATTCTTTACGTTAACAAATGTAGCTGCGTGATCAGACGTTAAAGTAGCTGTTAATTTTTTCCGATCTTCTTCCGACTGGCAGACCACCGCCAATCCACCCCGTTGGATAGGTTTGATCCGTTTAACTTGGACTCCAAGTTTCGGCAAAGGAAATTCCTGGGAAAGTTTATCTCTAAGCTTCCTGCTAGTTGTGTTCTCTTTTGGATATATTAGTAAAGTAGGTGTAAGAGCTGGCGGAAGGGATTGCTGTAATGCAGGTGCGTAAGAGTGTCCAGGAGCTGGAGAAGGCAAAGCAGAGGGATTTGGAACTAAAGGAACTTGCTGCAGAGATGAAATAATAGGTGGGTTATGAATAACTTCACAGCAGACCACTATTGATGTATTCACCTCAGCCTCAATTGTGGCTGGTTTCGGGATGTAATCCGGGCCCTGAAGAGCCAATTGCCGTAACGCATCCAATGAATGGAGCAATTTTTCTCGTGGTTCGAAAGGAAGTGTATACTTTCCTCCTCGATAGAGAGTTGCAATGGCACGAATATGATCGTATAACAAATTAACTTTGTCACTATAATTGTTATCAGTTGCAAGCAATGCAGTAGGATCAAAGTTGTCATTCACTGGGTCATCCGTAAACGAAACTGATTGTTGGGGCATAGCGATGCGTGAATATTACATAAGCTCACACTAGGTAATTAATTTCCCATAAGAAACAGACTGGTATAATATAATTACAAATGACGTTAACATGCTTTATATCAGTAAAACATAATGAATGTTCAATATAAACAGAGAAATAATATATTATTATATAAAATAATATATAATCAATCAAAAATATGTATACGATATGTAAAGGCACACAGAAAAGGCTCAGAAAGATATAACACAGTTAAAATAACAGTAAACAGTCTTAAAAACTATGGAGAATACACTGTAAGGAGTTTGTCGAAATTGCACTCGACGACGTGAAGGAGTTTGTGTCGAAATTCACAACGTTTCGACAAAATCAAGTATCATGTTTAAACTAGTATTCCGAGCCCAATGAACAGACCCTTTGGTGTTACTAGCATATTTTATAAAGTTTCAGACAGCAATCAGAAAATTAAGTTTATTTGGGTCCAGATTTTAGCTAGGTTCCAGAAAAGGTTAGTCTTTCTTAAATACTAATATCGAAGATAATGCAGTTATAGCCATATTGAAAATATAATATAATAGTATATGAAGAACTTACCAATATGCCGAAAACCCGATAATCCTAAGTGCATTAATTACGAAGATATTGATTTTTGAAAAGAAATCACAGATTTCTGGACCTATAATTTTTTTCGACGGACTTCCTAAGCCTAGTACGGCAACCACGTGGTGGCCGGGCGGCACCCTTCCGTTACAAGGACGGCATATGAGGTGAACAAAATTATTGAACACACTTTTTCACATATTTTTTGAAAACTACGATGCACACATACTAATGCGATGTATACTTGGATTCAGCTCACATTCACGCACAATTTGATTTATCACACGCACTTCGCACTGTGAAACTTCCACTTGAAAAATCGAAAAATAGCAGGAGCGCAACGCAGCGTGCTCTTCACAGGTCGACTGTCCAAACCGGCTCCCCTCTGGATGTGATCAAGGTGATAGCCGGGAACGATTCAGACGAGGGAGAAATCCCATTTGAGTTAGTCTATTTCCTATAAGGTCCATGTAACCAGTGGCGTGACGTCACTAGACTAAAGAAACTAAGCTAGTTCCCTAAGATAATAGATCTGAATATATTCAAGTATATTTTGATCTATAAAGCATTAAAAGGAACATTTTACCGCTTTTGAAAACGCACACGTCATTCAAGTGTAATCGGGGTTTCATGAGAATAAGAGAGGGTAAAAAAAAAATCTGTGTCATAGAATGAAAAAGCTACGCGAGAAAGGAATTAGCGGCTTTTCTCCTACTTTTCTTTACCATTATTGATTCTGTAAACTAAATTCATTTAAATTCTGGTTTTATATTTTAGTTCCTCTTCGTGAAAGCTTTCTCGTGATACATAAAAAGTTCAAAGTTAAATATACTGAGGCAGTAATTCCAAGTTTAATTTATGGAGATTGAAACAGTACCAAAAGTTTTTCCTCATACAAGAGATTATTGCGGAGCATGCTTAAGCAAAATTTGAAGATCTGATCTCAATAGCTCAACCTATGATTTCGACATTATGCTTTTAGGACTGTATACTTTTAAAAGAAACAAAAAAGTAATTACGAAATTCTATACGTTCTCATATGTACAAACATGAAATATCATATCCATCATTCCAAAGGAAAATAATATGCACTTTCAAATTTATTAACAATACACACTGAGAATTGATCTGTTTTGCTGGTTTTGTGTTATTTTCGATATAAATACAGCCTGTTGCAAAAGAATATATACACCCGGAAAGAACTGAGCCACAACTACGAAAATCGGCAGTAATATAGTGTTGGAGTAGATAAACAAACATTGAAAAAAATAAAGCGAAAACAACGTTTTATTTACTAGTAGCAGTACAAAGAATGTGAAAATCATTAGGTGGGAAAGCAATCGCTGGCAGCTATACAAGCCGATAATCGGGCATGGAGTTAAGTTGTGTCCCTCTGCGGTAGATTATGGTACAAATGGACCAAATAGTCAGCGAATTGGGACGTATTTGTACATGGCTGAATTTATATATTCGATAGGCGGCAGAAAGACCTGGCAGGTCAATCGAGGATATTAACACATCGAAGACATTATTGGGAAAGTCGTGCTGTACGTGGCCGAGCATTATCCCGCTTGAAAATATAATTTGGGCAGCCTGCCAGAATAGGTAGTATGATCTGCTGCAAAATGTCGTCAACGTATCTGCCAGTAGTCAGAGTACCTCGCAGCGCGACTAATGGTTAAATGGCTGTTCCAGCTGTTTGCTCCCCAGATTGTCACACCCTGTGTTCTGGTTATGTGCCGCTCGGTAACAAATGGTACATTGAACGGGTCACCTCTGCGTCTCCAGACACGTATGCGGCGGCCATCAGCATTGAGAGAAAAGCGTGATCTGTTGCTAAAGATAACATTTCACCAACTGGACACTGTCTAGTGACTTTGAGTGAGAATGGCACCATGCAAGACGATGCTGTTTATGGTGAGTACCAATGGCAAGCGTCAAGATCTGAGCCTGGATATTCCGTGATCCCTGCGATTTGGCAAATGGCGTTGAATTGATGATACCATAATTGTTGGTACCATAATTTTTGGACGTGACAACTCTTTTACTCGCGGAATACTCTTGCGCATTGTTGGCCCGGGCACGTCTCGAGTCACTACTGTGGCTGACTATGCCTTCGTTGAGACATTGATTCTAACAACGTACAACGACCATATCGCTTCAACTAATATATCTGCCGATCCGTCTGTTCGACTAATGGTTTCTTTTAACTCTATGATGCGACCCCTCTCAAAGTCTGACAACTGTTCGTAACTCCGTCGAATACGTCTTAAAGGCATCTACCGTTACAATGTCGTGTATCGATGCCGTCAGCATGGTTGTAAATGCTCGTCACTCACCGCAACTGCCCTTTTACACTCTACCAGCTACGCACTTCAGACGTGCGTCATATCACTGCACAATACTGATTAATGCTGCAAATTTAATCATTTACACATCTCGCTACGCTTAGTACTTGTGGCTCAATTTTTTCTGGGAGCATATATATATATTTGCAATAGTTAAATTTGTAGTTTAAGCTGTATGATATCAATCGATTAAGAGTTGCTTATTTTCGCGATTAAAAGTCAGTATTTTTGATTTCCATTCGTCATTCGATTTTCATAAATTTATCAGACCATGTTATGCATTATTAAATTCATCCTACTTCTGAAACTAGCCATTATTTCTGAGAACATAATTTATAAGGTATTTCTCCCGCCTTCTTAGCATGCCTTCCTAGTGTGGTGGTCGGCTTGCTGGGCGAGTATTCCAGAGGTCCGTGGTTCGATTGCCGGCGAGGGCGTTGCTCATTTTTCACGTCTCCTGCTTCCAAAAAAAATGTCTCTACAGATTAAACATTAGTATTGAGTTCAACTTCATAAGATGGCAATCCCCACTGATTATGAGTATTTGTCTTAGACAGAATGGCAATTTTTCTTCGTACCTAGTTCCCGTTGATGAAACCAATGCTACGTAATTGACCCATGCTATGATTGTAATAATCTACAATAACGTGCCTTAGTTTAATGTATTTTTAATATTCATGGTACTGCTACTGTTTAACTGTAACATTAAACACCATACAGATTTATGCCATGTAGAGTTATGAATACAAATAAGCCTAGTATGACATATAATTGTCTGTAAACGTAATATAGCTAAGAAATTAATTGCTAACATAAAGTTCTATCTAAATGATAATAATTCCGTATAGTTAGCGGGTCAAAGGACTTCACATCGGCGAAATAAAATGAAGATAATCATAATATGTAAAACAGAAACGCTTATTAATAATGCTGGCGGCATGAAAGGTAATAGAATCTGCTGTCACCCAAAACAGCAAAACATTTTGAGAGGAAAGCGTTGTTTTGAAATTCTTTCTTTTCTTATGCGAAAATTAATGTATTGTGATAATTTAGAAGACAAATGTAAAGTCTAAAGCCAAGTCGATTAGCACTAGTCCTTATATACTGTATATGTTCTGTAAGTGAAAACAATGATATTTGAAAAGTTTTTTTCCAAGTATTAGCAGTGAAGAAAAGGCGAAATTTAATTAATCTGCTGCAAGTCGTTTGTACATATACAATAAGTTGAAACGCTTCCTTAATATTAGCATTAAAAAAATTCGATCCAATATTTGTACAATTTGCCAGCTATTCTGAACAAACATCAGGAGAAAGTTAGAGGAAATTGAGTTATCCTATTCTAATGAAAGCAAAACCCAGATAACCGAACCACTTTCTTTAAAAAGAATAAATTGACGTCCAATAAACAAATAAAGGGAAAAATCTTCCTCGGACGCACGTGCACCTCTTAATTTTAATAGCTTAGGTGAGATTAAAAGTTAACGATATGAGCTAGCCAGATTAAATGGCGCCGAAAATTGATTAACCCAATTAGCTCGCCTAAGAGAATTTCACATACCATTTTCTACAAATTTGCATACATCAGTAGTTACCCTCAATTTGGAAAGAGTTTTTTATTTATTATTTATTTTTAACTTCCATTAAAAATATTTGCTAAAAGTTTCCTAAAAGAAAATTAAATGTGCCACAAGAAATTTGGAGAGGAAGGGTCAGGTAAATGCTTGATATTTTTCGAGGTGCTTGCATAATTTAACTAATTTTTTGAACAAGAGAAATTACATACATAATCTGTAACAATTTATTTGATTCTGTGTAGTGTTGAAAGTTATAAATGTATCCATATCCATTTGCAGATACTGATGTAAAGGAATGAGAACTGCTAAGGCTAGAAGAATAATTTTATGTTAGAATAACATAAAAATAATACAAATTATGTAATTAACAATACAGTACTACATTTCACTCCTATCTTGCAGCTGTTAGTTATACACGAGTCAAAGTTAAAATGAAAACATAAAAATCCATATAGACATAGAAGTGTCCTGAAAATGTAAAAATGCTCGATTTAC